GCGTATATCCCTCAACTGGCTAGCGACCACACCCGTGCCTGAGAATAAAATCTAAGCAGGGATCGTTCAATTTGCAGGCATGGTAAAATTCAAAACAGAAATGCCGCTATTGCCTTTTTCCTTAGAATTTTAACTTTTTAATGAGAAACTGTCACAAACGGGTACATTTTATATGCTTGTGCACTTCACACAAAACATAAACATGGACGTAGTGATAATCATATCATAGTGATATCGACAACAGTGCTATCTACCGGCTCTAATCGTAAATCTAAACAATTTAGGTGTATATTAATAATTTTTCTGCCAAATTTCAAGTCTCTAGGCCTTATGGTTCCAGAGAGACTTGGGGGATGAAGCTGCTCGCGTCCGTAGGCATTACTTGAATCCAGACTCCCTACACGTATCCCCTTGGTAGTGCTAAACGAGCATAGGTTGGTCCTCTACTTACTAGTGAGAGGCCTGGCCGAGGGTTTGTTGTCACCAACATGGCAAAGACATACCGCCAAATGATGCAAGTCGTGTTCCGGTATGATGTTAGGTGAAACTCATTTCTCAGAGAGAATGGATCTGGAAAATTGCGTTGCGCATAAGAACCGGTTGCGAAGTGGCCGTTTCTTAGTGTCAGGTGCCTGGTTATGGTGGTTAGCGGGATCCGAAGCACAGTTACACCGATGGCCGACCGTATATATTTGGGGGCCCAATTAATAAGCCAGCCACGCATGAAGGGCTGCCCTGCCATCTTACGAAAAATCCTGGGATAGCTTCACCATGACGGTTAGCAACCGGAGGACAACGATCTCCGTGCTAGGTACCATCGATGCTGTGACTCTGTTTGCGAACCTAGGTTATATGGGTGACGCCTCGTTCAACTGCCATTCTCTCAAACTATTCACTCCACCAATAATGAAAAGAAGGAAAAAGAAGAGTAATTTTGTGCAGCGGTGGCACTTCCTCTCCTAACTACGATTTCCACGGTGTGCGGCAAGTCTTTGTTTTGTGGCATTTCTTTGCATCTTATCCTTGGCGGCTGATCTGCTTCTCGTCTGAAGATCCGTCGAGCTGCGCGGATGTCATAACCGATGTGATACGTCAAGCGATGGAGTATTTCTTCCCCTTTGCCGACGTGCCCATTGGTGGCAAAGCTCGCCCATGGTACAACGCCGAGTGCGCTCGTGTTAAAAAGCACAAGCATATGGTATACGTATTCTGGGTCGATGCTGGAGACCGCAAAGCTCCAGATGTCAGCCTTAATAAGAGAGCCTTTAACCAAGCCGCCAAGTCCTGCACAAAGGCATTACGGCAAGCCAGTTTCGACCGTATTAAGCGCATCAGTACAAAGCTGTCTGGCAAACTATCTGGCAGTAGACCTTTTTGGTTATTTGCCAAACCGGTCGAGACAAATGCCTGTATGTCTAAACTGCCTCCGTTGGTAAACCCAGATTGCTCACTGAAGCAGGCGCCTAAGGAGAAAGCGGACTCATTTGCTTCTCTTTATGCCTACGATTCGCGTCTGGACAGTAGCAACAGCGTACCATCTCAATTACCTCACTGCAATACCTCTATGTCAAAGGTCCGTATCACCAACAAAGAGGTTCTTAAAACCTTGCGAAGTCTGGACGTGACCAAAGCTAGTGGACCTGATAGTATACCAGCTATAGTTCTGAATATCTATACACCTAAGTTGTATCTTGTGTTGACGCGCTTGTTCCGCCTCTCATTCAGGATTTGAATAGCGCCCAAATCTTGGAAGCTGACCAATATGCACCCTGTGCCTGAAAAAGGTAGCCGTACCGACCCTGCACACTATCGGTCAATTTCAATTAACTCCATACTTTGCACAGGATTATGGAGCGTATATTGAACGCCCACTTCATGATATTCCTAGAGCAAAACGGTCTCCTCAGTGATCGCCAGTACAGGTTTCACTGAAATCGATCTACTGGGGGCCTTCTTGCGTATGTCACTCACATATTACGCGAAGCCCTCGAAAACAATGGTGAATCACTTGCTGTTTCCCTTGTTATTTCGAAGGCCTTTGACATTTTGACAAGTATGACACGCTAGCCTACTGGGCAAGTTTTCAGCGTACGCCTTATACCCTGGCCGGATTCACTGGGTGAAGAACTTTCTGAGTGGACGATTTCTCCAAGACATCGTCGATATATGCTCGTCCTTGTAATATTTTGTTAAAATACAGCCTCTAGTATAAAAAAGAACTTCAATATAGCTCGTATACAGCTTGCATGCTGCTTGAGTATGATGACGACTTATGTTCGCATTATTAATCTTTAAACTTACCTTACCTTAGTACCTTAATGTGTAATTAAATAATTAAATTTTATTCTTAATTGAATGAACTTAGCAAATTTAAAGTTTTAAGATTTATCATATTTTGATATATTTTTTACAAAAAATTCCAGAGATTTAATAGATTATTTCTTATGTATTTGGTAGTTTAATAAATTTAAAATCACCTTCTCGTATGCTATGTATGATTAAATTGTGAGTATCATTTTTTGACAAAAATGACATAATGGTAATATTCTTGTAAATGATCTGAGTAAAGTTTATGACTAATTTACATCCGAAAATTAGTCATAAACTTTACTTGTGAATGAAAAATATTGAAAGATATATATATAGGTAAAATGTGTGATAGGTAGAGAAATTATCGCAGGTTAGCATATAAACATACAATAAGCCTGATCAGCTGAAAGTTTGGAAAACCTAATAACCGATTAACTTATTAAAGTTGTTCGGAAATCGGATGCGATAAAATGCTGAATGAGTTTTAATGTATTGGTAATGAGAGAATTATGATTTATTAAGAATTGTAGAAGAATATAGTCCACTATTTTGATTATGTAGCATCAGGAGACGTATACGTGAAAATAATGATACAATTAAATAATCTATATATGTATATGACATTCACACGCTCGACCATAGCTTCTCTTTCGGACTGGATTTGATGTATCTCTCCACAACTATGCCGTCACATAAATAGGTTAGAACGAGTGCAAAAGAAATTCATTAAGTACCTTTATTTCTGTAATAAAAAAATACACAGGCAAACTTACTAGTACATTGAAAGACTAAATAATTAAAATAATATGATTTCATTAAATGATCTAGAGCGCTTATGGACTTGTGCTTGTTATATAAAATCGTTAACAATAAAATTAGCTGGAATAATCTTTTGGAAAAAATATCATAAGTTGTTTCTAGACCTAATTCTGGAATGAGAAATCATAGTTTATTCCATACTAGGTATTGTAGAACAAATTTCGGATCATCAGCTCCAATTAACAGAACTTTAAAAACTTCTAATGTAATTTTCAAAGTAGTCGATCTTAACATATTTAACGATTCTTATACCACTATAAAAAATAAAATTTAAAAATATCTTTGTAACAAAATTAAGACACCTCTTGAGTTGTTGTTGTAATTTTTTTTGTTTCTTGCTTCAAAATAAGTTATTTTGTTATACTTTTTTCGTTTTTCAACACTAAAGTGCGTTACTTATTATTTTACTTTAACATGTTACGTTAGCCTGTAAATATGATATGTACTAAGAATTAGATTTTAATCACATATATCTTAGACGTAATCTCTCATTACTGCCCGTACGAGAAAGCTCAAGGTTGATCAGTTTGCTATGAAGATAGTTTTGCTTGGAGTTTGGCTGAGTGATAGACTTCGTGATGAGGATGTCCGCAGTCAAATGAAAGTGACCAAGGTATCCCAACGGATTGCCTGAAGTGGCAAGTGGCCCTCCATATAGCCAAAACTATATAGCAGCAACCGACAACCGATGGGGAAAAGGATTTCGAGTGGCCGTCTAGTACCGGTAAGCAAAGTAAGGGCGGTTCCTCACTAGATGGAGTGACTACCAGGTAAGAAATACATAATTCAATGGATACAGTTGGCTCAGATTCATGTTTTGTGGCATTCCTTAGACTTTAGTGATGATGTAAATAATGATGATAATATAAGAGGCTACTAGGGGTTCGTCAAAAAGTTCCAGTAACAGTCACCGAAGTACACCTTCAGGTCACTACATAAAGACCAAGACGTATAAAGCTTCGTTGAGATCTATAGACATTGAACGTGCCAGACACGTGCCGTGGCAGACGTAATAATATTCTTTTATACACTATATATAGATATTAGATATATTCACATCTAGCGTACGCAAGCAGAGCGTGTCCGCGCAGACACGGGCCGGCACCGGCCAGCATTCTCAACAAGAATGTTTTATCTGTGCTGGTGGGTGTCTGCGGGTGTCTAATATACATTTGGGTATGATAAGTGTGATCGCAGGTACAGTGACAATCAAAAACAAAAGATTACGCATGGAAACAAGGAGCAGAAAAACTTCATGTTTCATGTAAGAAGAATTTTATCTATGAAAAATCTTGTAAGCACGTGCACTTTATAGTTTACCTGATGACGTCTGTTCATACCGGATGCGTGAGATGTGAAAACTGTTGTCTGTGCGGTGTCTGCCACGTTACGTGCTGGGCACGCTACGTGCTTGTAGATCTGAACGAAGCTTAAGTATATTTATATATAAATCATAATTACTTTTAGCTAAACAAAGTATTGCAATAAAAATTTGTGATCATTTATTTAGTTATTTTTATTTATTTAAACTTTTATGCACCAAACAAAAATTGTACATATGGCGGACTGAATACCTTAAGGAATTCTCTCCCAGTCAACCATAAGGCCGGGACTCCACCAAAGCAGAGATGTGTGCCGTGTGCTGTGTGATGTGTGAGAAGAGATGTTTTTCAACTCGGGGGACTCCAGCAAAGCGGAGATGTGTGTGGTGTGCTGTGTGCTGTGCGAGAAGAGATGTTTTTCAGCTCGGGTGCGAGGCGTTGAGTGCTCAGTACGCATTCTGACACGAAAGGTAGACGATGTCGCTATTATTACAAAAAAAGTATCTCCTTTTACTTGAAGAAGAAGACCTACAGTCTGAATAAGCAGAATTGATAGCTTTATACTACCTAAACAAAAGAAAACATCGGTTTTGGAGAAGAAGTCACTTGAATTACCATACCAGTCATGGAGAATTTTTTACTCTGTTTAACGAGTTAGATGATGAAAGTTTTACCAAGTCCTACAGACTACCGAGGAATATATTCTACGAACCACATAATTTAATTAAACCGCATATATTTAAGCAAGATACTAACTACAGGAGATCTATCTCTACCCAAGTGCGGCTAGCAGTATGTTTGAAGTAATTACCTACCTAATTATTTTTTGTTAATGTGTGTTTGTGTTTATGTGTGTTCATGTAAAAGAGCTAAGTGAGAAGTACTCGAAACGAGAATCGAGAAGTACTAGAATACATGAATAATATTATATGAACTGAGGTATGTAAGGATTACAAGAAATCGAGATCCGTTGTCTCTTTCTACCCCTCCGGAAGACTGGAGTGATGCATATTATGTAAAAACCAAGTATATTTTTGTATTATCTTATTTATTCATAACGAAAACAAAAAATATGAACTGCCGTTCTGGGAGTAGCAAAAAAAACGTAAGGTTATTAGAAACATAACGTACAAAAAAATTATAACAGTAAATCACATGAGACATATTGTTTTCTTTTCCATATAATTACAAATTATTATATGTGTCTTCAATGTTTCTGAATGCTTCTTCTATCTGTTCATCGGTCATGTGCGTATCTTCCAAGCTTGGACCAGGTGCCTATGTCGAACTTGGACCCGGTGTCTGTGTTGAGCTAGGACACGGTGCCTCCCCCCCGAACGGGTTCCCGCCTTGTCGTGGCGGGGGGGCTTAGTAGCCGTGGCTTGGTCAACCACGGTGAACGAAGAGGAACCCCTTGGCTGGCCCGAGGTGTAGGGCCGGCCCGAGGTGGCGACTCCGAGTGGGCTTGGGAAGCCCACTTCGGATGTGTGTCGGGGGGCTGTGGTGAGAGGGGAGTCCGCAACCCTCTACCGCTGCAGCCGAGGTGGAGTCGCGGAGGAAGAGGAGTGCTGGTATGGCGATGCGCCACTCGCCCTATCCTCCGCGACTCAGACGGGGCCGCACCGTTGAATGATGCGGTGGTGGTGGGGCTGCGGGGGGAGAGGAGTGTCGGTATTGCGAGGCGCCGCTCTCCCTACCCTCCGCAGCCGAATCTTGGTTGGCGGCGGAGCCATAGACCAGATCCGCCGCTGGGGTCGGGAAGGCTGGTGCTTCTTAGTGCTAGTTTTTCCTGGCCCCATGGCCTTCGCGCATCGGACACGGGGGCGTCTGTTGCGCATATGAAATTGGAGGCCGAGGAGGAGGGCGCGCCATGTGTTCTGGTGCGCCTTACCGGAGAAGGAGATGGGGGAGGAGTGGTCCTCTCCCGAGGAGGGGCCGCCATGGGGTGGCCGGCGCAGGTGGGGCCGCGGAAGTGTGCGAAAGCGTTCCCGTGGCCCTGCCAATATGCGACGAGGGTGGAACACCATGGGGTTTTAGTCGGTGCGAGTCCGACATAACCCGTCCTTGCCCCCGCGAGGCGGGTATGCGTAGGCATTTCCCCATGTAAAAAAAAAAAAAAAAAAAAAAAAAGGACACGGTGCCTGTGTTGAGCTAGGACCCGGTCTCGAACTTGGACCTGGTGCTGAAGTGTAACTGGGGGAATATCAATTATTTTCATTTGTGTTATACCATGTGTTTTGTAGATCAAGTTCTTTCAATTCTAGAATAACATTGAAAATTTTACGTTTAGTCTGAAGCTGCATATAGTGAGAAAGTTTTTTACAATTTTTGATATCGACAGAAAAAAGTGTCCATTTCGTCAAGGGTATTATTTTTCTCTATCAATGATTGTATTTCTAGTTTTTCTTGGCGTATTCTTTCACGGTTTGTATGGTGCTGTATAAGTAAATTACTTATTTCATCCGATTTTCTTGTTGTATTTCTGCATGCCGAGGATGAGACGCTTGATGTCGGTGACGGCGAATGTTGTACAGATGGACGATCTTCTGAAGTACTTCTTGTATGATTGCTTGATGTTTCAAAAAACTCATCGGTTACATTATTTTCCAATGAATTTGTTTCCTGTTCATTTATATTTGTTTGTGAGGTATAACTTGTAGTCCTGTCTCTATTCGTCATATATGGTATGAAAAATTCCATAACCTTCTCATATTTCCATTCACAAATTTGTTTACCACTCTGTCCACTTCTGGTGGCATTCTTCCTTTTTAATGCGTCCCGGTGGATGTCTCTCAACTTTTTCCATTTAGATTTAGCCGTTTTCACTGAAATAAAAATAACTGAAATTATTATAAATAATGATTTCTTATATTTACGCGAAAACTACACATTGAATAAAACTGGGGTATACGGGGGACCCCGTGACCACGGTTGCTGGAAAACAACCGAAACGTCGGGAATATAAAATAAGTTAATTAAACGCGATAAAATCCGTAAAAATAGTTTTATTCAATCATTATAAATATTAAATGTTGACATTGCCATAGTCAAAATATACATATCGCATTATCACTCATTCAGAATTTATAACCATTATTAAATATTTAAAATACCCGAGTTTCAAGGGAAACCAATGTATAAAAAAAAATTATCTGAAATCAAACAAACAAAACGGATTGTATCTCTCGTACGTGGTCGCGGCAGACGGCGGCGTCGAAATTTGAAATGTTAATAAAAAAAACGTATGATAAATCCGTTTTATTTGTTTGATTTCAATGTGTAGTGCTTGTGTGAATCTTATACTTTAAAAAAGATCTCTCTTTTAAATGTATTTTTTTCTATTATTTAAAAATGGCTATAACTTTTTAACGAGTGCAAATTCTGTAAATACATAATTTCAGTAAAGCCTATTCTTTTATAGTTCCGGAAAGAACACGACACTGATTAAGATATTATTTAGAAATTACCCTTCTATTCTAACCGAAACTACGACACATAAATATAAATATTATAATTATTACAGGTACTTGGCGACTGGTTCAAAATTTTCACAAATAGCTGAAAATTTTAGGATTGGAAAATCGACTGTTCCAAGAATTATAGAAGATGTCGGCGATGCCTTGTGGACAGTATTACAACCTTTGGTTATGCGAGAACTTAATGAAAATGATTGGAAAAAAATTTCAAAGCAAGTTGAAGAAATCTGGCAATTTAAAAACTGCGTCGGGGCCATTGATGGCAAACATGTGTACATGTTTACACCCCCAAAATCTGGTTCCTCATATTACTGTTATAAACACAGGTTTTCAACTGTAATGATGTGCGTAGCTGACGCTACCCGAAGAATAATTATGGAAGATGTAGGTTCAATGGGAAGGTTCAGCGATGGTGGTATTTTTGCTGATAGTATATTCGGAATTCGTTTGAGAGAAAACACACTGAATCTACCACAGCCACAACCCTTGTACCAAAATGGAGAACCTATACCGTTTGTTTTTATTGGAGACGAAGCTTTGTCTTTGATGCCTTACTTAATGAGACCATATCCACGCGATAATTTAAATATCGAAAAACGAACATACAATTATAGACTTTCAAGAGCTCGTCGTATTGTCGAAGCTACATTTGGTGTATTATCACGGAAATGGTACATATACCGTAAAGAATTTGAATGTAAAATAGAAACAGTGGAAAAAGTGATAAAGGCAACGTGTGTTCTACACAATTTTTTAATTGACAAGATGCCTGGCTTTCTAGATAATAATGAATCGGGTTTGGCCACGACTATGTTTAACGACACAAACGTGGAGAATCTATTATTGGATGACAATATGGATGCCTATCAAGTTCGAGAAAAATTCTGTAGTTATTTCAACAACGAGGGCGCCGTTCCATGGCAAGACACTCGTATTCCAATGTCACTTCAACGAAATACTTAGTTTAATAAATTGCACTTACCTTCACATAATTTTCTTTCAAAACGTTCTCCCAAGCTACATCTTTGACGTCAGTAACTTTATAGGTATCTATTGATGTGTTCCATAGACATGGATATTTTTTTACTGATTCAATAAATTGTTCATCCATTATGTTTTATTTAAATTAATTAATTGAAAAATATAAATTGCACAAATTATTCACGGTAGAAGCGTGTGCTCGCCTGCACGTTACTAGCAAGATGGCCGGACGGCGCGCGCGCACGCGGACCTTTGTGGGTGCTGGCGGGCGAGAGGGGGAAGGGTGACATCGCTAACTGCACGCCGCTCACATCTCTCGTCTCCACTGCGCGAATTATGTGGGCTCCAGCCAGAGGTTGCAAAAAAAAAGCAATCTTTATTTAATATATATTTAATTTAAAGTAATTATTACAATTAATTCTTATAACTAAGTGAGGTGACTCTAATTCGATGTTTGAATGTAGAATGGATTCACACGGTAAAATATTAGATCCAGGTAATATAAGACAGTAGACACGTTATGCTGACACGGCGCCTCGTGATCGTCGTAAGCCGATGCAACGCAGCAGATTGCCTGGATTAGGGCTGCGTAACACCTCCCCCCGAAGAACAGCGACTATGGAAGACCTTGGTCGTGAATTGAGCTGGGAGTTGATCGGGATCAATCTTCTCAGTGTCTGGAACAGCGTATACCCTTAATGATTTAGGATGGTCCTCTTCTGAGTTCCTTTGCGTACCTCCAGTTAGCTTCGGCTTGTATCTTCTATAGAGTATGCATAGAATCAGTGCACCTGCACTTATTATTAATGCGTAAAATGGTATTGTAGTATGATATAGACTGTAGTCATCGTTTCTTCTTAAATTCAATGGCGATTGCTGGGATATTTTAGTGTTCGTTGCATGAAGATGTTGGAGGTTTATTGAATTTAGTTTATATGCCGATGCAGAAGATGGGATGCTGGTGTGTTCCTCAGGTATGTCCATTATCTTTAAGGCTTGTCCCTTCAATCGATCTTTAGTATTTGAGATCGAGAATAGTGGCGTTTCTATGTAGCATTTCAGAGGGACAATAACGAGATAACTACCTTGAAGTATTTTGTAGAGATCTTGTCCACAGGATAGATGTACTTTCGTTGGTGTGGGGAAAGTGATGGTGTAATGCTTGTCGTCCAGTTCTTCGTAAGCTGGTTTATCTAGGGTGACTGTATACGGGTTACATACTGCATTCGTCTGTTGTTTAGTGATGAGGTGATGGATGCAATCAGGGGATGTTTGACCTCTCAGGCTCCGCTTTTCTTTACAGATGTACCATTTACTGGTCTTCGGGCATTCTGCCTCTATGTACTGAAAATCTTTCTGATAAATGGCTAGGAATGGAAAGGGTGGTGTGAGGATTTCGTGTCTCTTGTTAGGAACAATAGATAACTTATACATATCATATATATGGGGTAATAGAATTGGGAACTTAAATACTATTACTATTTCATTTCCTACATAATATGAACCTAATCTAATAATATCATAATATTCCCTAATATCTAAATCTCCTACCTTTTTATTTCCATAAAGTTCGGTTGCTCTGTTAATCATTATTCGGATAGATTTTAAATTAACTATAGAGTGGTGCATAGTGTTAGCTCTTATAAATGCTAAGTTGTTCTGTAACTTAATTAATTCCTGTGAAATGGAATCAACGTTATCACTAAGGATCATTAGTACTTGTCCAAAATGGGCATATTTAATTAGGTCATAGTCTCTGGTAGCCTCGGATTGATTTATTTTACCTATTAGTATTTCTAATTTATTTTGATTATCTACAATGCTATCTATTATTCTGGAGTATTGATTTGATAAATCTTTAGTTAGGCTTACATGATTATTAAATTCCGTAACGATTTTATTTTCGTCTTCGTGGATGGATTTTATAGCACGATTAAAATGATCTGCATCTGTATAATCAAGGTTACCAGTTATACTTTTTATGATGGAACCGAGACCATCTACAAGTCCTCTTTTCTCACGGTTCGTTTTAAAGCTACTCAACTGTATGGTGACACTTTCAAGCTTATTTTTAAGATAATCAATATGAGGCTGAAATAACGAATTGGTTATGTTGTTAAGGTTAGGGCTAATACTGATTAACTGTGTTTTAACTGAATTTACTTTATCTCCTAATTCCTGGAGATTTACATATTGCAGAAATGCATGGTAGTGGGATAGGATTCGAGCGGGGCCTAATTTGAAGGGTAATATACCAGGTCCATCGCTAAGACTTTCAAGTCTTATCTCCTGCATTAGAGCTGGTCCCAGAAGGAGATGAAGTACCAGGAGAGTCCTGTAACAATTGGTTCGTTTTAGGTATTCTCTTCAATCGAGTTTTTGCTACGGGGCCTCGTTTTTTCTTTGTATAAATGTGAATTGGGAGGTTTGCCATAACTGTGTCGTGTGTGTATCGAGGAGCTAATTTCTGACGGGATGCGAATGGATTTTTTATAAAGATTTGTTGTTCCGGGGAATATTCAGCTTCCTGTTCTCGGTTTTTATTGCGAGTATTAGTCAAGTCTTTACGCATGTCGTTACATAGATCGTGAATAGCTTTATAGGTCTCAGTCATTCTGTCTTTGTGGTTTACGACGTACTGTTGAAGTAAGTGGGCGGACAGATCTATGTCAAAAGGATCGCGAGGGTCAAAATGTCCTGTAATTACTTCTATTGGTTTGCATTTTGTGAAGCTATGTATACTATGATTGTAAGCTAATAGGGCATAGGGCATAAGGTTAATAGCGGATTCATTCTTTTGATTTATCTTTAAAATACGGAGATGTTCTAATATGGGGGCGTGAAATCGTTCAACGATACCATTTTCGTTGGGTGCATGTGGGGCTACTCTATGGTGCTGAATTTTATGAAGTCTAACGAATTCTGCAATAAGTTGGTTGGTAAACTCAGGGCCGTTATCGGAAACTATGGTAATTGGAATTCCATGATGTGTGCAGAAAATTAGTAAAGCTTGTACTACACTGACAGCAGTGCCGTCTCGCAAATAATACGCCTGAGCATATTTAGAAAAACTATCTACTATTGTCAAATACTTTTCCCCTTGAATTGTTAATAGATCTACGTGAACTAGTTCAAAAGGCTTAGAAGCTGGTGGTACAATTTTAAATTTCTGTTTAACTGGATTGCGGTCGTATTTAGCTTGTCCGCATACTGTACAGTCATTAATAAATTTAGTGATATGCTCTCTCATTTTCGGCCAGTAATATTTGCGGGACAAAGCCGAGAAACACTCGTTAATGCCTCGATGGTTCGTCTTTCCATCGTGATATTTATGAATGATTTCTTGCTGTCTTAAATACTCCCTAACATTTTCCAATTCAGTTTTTGTTAGAAAAAGGTTAAGAGATGAACTTTTAAAAGACTTTTGTATGATTGGTATGACAGTGTACATTGCAGAGTTTGGATTAATGAGTAATCCTGTCCTAATTTTCGGATGGACGTATTCTTTTATAGCATTAATGACATCCTCTTCTATGTTTGATTGAGCTATTTGTATCGTAATGCGTGTGTGTGTTTCGAATGGTTTAGTGATGACTGGTCTAGCTTTTATGTCGCCTACTATATTTAAGATTATCTGTTTAGTAAACTTATTTAGCGGTTCGTCAGAAATGGGAACTTCCAGGATGGGGTTTTCTTTATCTGTATGAACGGTGATGGTTCTGGAATCGTCCGCGGCTTCGGTAGCCGTTATAGTCCTAGAGTCATCTAAAGTGTGTACCCCTTCGGAAGGGTTAGGTAAAATGGAAAGCAATTCATCTATTATGGGTCTTAGCTCGTCATTGTGAAGTTCGATGCGCGATAGTGCATCGGCATTCGTGTTGCACTTGCCTTGCTTATATACGACACTAAAGTCATATTCACTTAACTTAAGGCGCCATCTGGTTAGACGCGAATTGGGTTCTTTTAAGCTCATAATCCATTGTAAGGGTTTATGGTCTGTAATAATTTTGAACTTACGGCCGAATAAATAGGGACGGAAATACTTAGTCGCCCATACGATAGCTAAAAGTTCCTTTTCTATCGTGCTATAGTTACTTTCGCTGGAGTTAAGTGTACGAGAAGCATATGCAATGGGTTTATCTGAACCGACTGTTCCCTGTGATAAAACTGCACCAATCGCCACGTTTGAGGCATCGGTTGTCAAAATAAAATCTCTACTGAAGTCTGGATACTGTAAGATTGGGTCATTTGTTAAGAGAGTTTTACAGTGTTCAAAGCAGTTAATATAATTTTGATCTAATGTTATCTTTGATCCCTTTTTAAGACATTGAGTGAGTGGTTTTGTGAGACGTGCGAAGTCTGGTATAAATTTTCTATAATATCCTAGAAGTCCTAGAAAACGCTTAATTTCGGTTGTAGTTTTTGGCAGTGGGTACTTTTCGATGGCTTTAATTTTGTCTGGGTTGGGTTTAACCCCGTTTTTACAAATAACATGACCTAGAAACTCGGTTTCCAGCTTCAAAAACTCTGATTTATCCATCTGAATTTTGAAGTTGGATTCCCGTAGCCTTTTGAATACTTTTTCCAGATTTGTCATATGTTCTTGTAAGGATGTACTGAAGACAATTATGTCATCTAGATACACTAAGCAAATTTCGTTCTGTAAGTTCTTTAATACGTTGTCCATCACCCTTTGGAAGGTCGATGGACTATTTTTCAGGCCCATTGGCATCCTAAGAAATTCGTAATGCCCATTCTCTACATTAAAAGCAGTTTTGTGAATGTCCGCGGGATCCATTTCTACCTGATAAAATCCACTGGCTAAATCGAGCGTGGTAAAGTACTGACATTTGCCCAGTTTGTCTAGAACATCGGTTATATTAGGAATAGGATATTTGTCATCGACTGTCTTTTCATTCACCTTCCTGAAGTCCACAACTAGACGCCATTTTATTTTGCCGGAAGCGTCCGCCTTTTTGGGT